TTGAGAATCCGGGGGTTAGGTACCTAGTTGTGCAATTCCCGTGATGTCAGGGGGAAAAAGGAAAAAAGACAGACATCCGACTGCTTGGACGCCCGAGGCCCAGCCGGAGAAACTTACAGCTGGGGCCCTGGCAAAGCCAAGTGCCAAGAGGAGTGATTGGCACACGGCGGGTTGCGTTAACTCGCCTATTTGGCCGGCGAGGGCTCTTAAGATTTGGTGACCCAGCAGATGCTACTGGGCACAAGCGGGTCTAGGGGAAAGGGCCTGAGGAGTCCTAAGGGCACTCCAGCTGTGACCTCAGCCGAGGCACGAGTCTCTGGGTGAGAAAGCCAGACAGACAGCAAACCAAACAGCTTTTGACACTTGAGGGGTGCCGTTTCCAAATTGGGCCCCTGCTTGTCCACACCCCAGTGGCTGGGCTCCGGCTCCCTCCACCCACACCCAAAGCTCTCGGCGAGGCTCGGAGGTCGCCTCTGCCCTTCCAGCCTCGTCCCATGTGCACGTCCTGTGCCCGCTCAACGCCCGACTTAACGCCCGACCTCAACGTCCAGCTCCCAACTTCCGGCTCCCAACGACCCAAGCCCGAGCTCATCTCGACGCTGAGCTCCCGCGCCCCGGGGCGCCCCCGGCCTCCTGACCTGGAGGGAGCCCAAGTGGCCTCTACCCCGGGCCCGTCTCGGGAGCCTGGTGGTGCTGATGCTCGCCATCCCCCGAGGGCCAGGAGCAGCTCCACCAGTGCTTACCTCGCCTTGGCCGCCCAAGGCCGCCCTCGTGCGAGCGGCTGGCCCCGCGCCTGCGCAGTGGGGCGCCCACGTGCGCCCAACCCCGCCCACGCGCCCAGGGCGCAGGTGCCGCGAGGCCGCGTGGATTGGAAGCAGGTGCTGGCTGCGGCGGTGCAGGCTCACCAACGCGGGACTCTTGTAGCTTTCTCCGGACAGGTGTCCCCGGGAGCACCGGGGGCTAATTTGGAGAGGGTAGGTTGCCCCGTTAGCGACTTTTTTTCAGTTTTTCCAGAGTACCCACTCCTCCACCTCTGCTGGAAACTAAGCACACCAGACCCCAGACTCCCAACTGAGGGCCCGCTTTTTGGGGAAGGGAGGAACGTTACTAAGGTGCTCAAAAGAATGGCATCTCCATGTGCCTGTCAGCCACTTTCAAGAGGACTCATTGTCAAACTTGTTTGTTTTGATTTTCGAGACAGGGTTTCTCTGGGTAGCTTTGGAGGCTGTCCTGGAACTCACTCTGTAGACCAGGCTGTCCTCGAACTCACAGAGATCCGCCTGCCTCTGCCTCCCAAGTGCTGGGGTTAAAGGCGTGCACCACCATTGCCTGGCCTCTTGCCTACATTTTCATCCTGGTCACGTTCTTGAATCTTAAAAAGCAATGACCAGATGTATATCTTTATAATTTTTACATTTTTCATTTATTTTGTGCCAAGGCACGTATGTGGAATTCAGGGGACCGCTTTTGGGAATCAGTTTTGTTTTTTGAGACTGTGTCTCACTGTAGGCCCTGGCTGGCCTGTGATTTGCTATATTGACCCAGCGGTCCCTGAACTCACCAGAAATCCTCCTGCCTCTGGCACTTACTATGTTGACCAGGCTGGCCATGAACTCATATACCCTCATGACTCTGTCTCTGGAACGCTGGGGTTAAAGGCATGGGATACTGTCAGGTCTCAAACCCAAAACAAATGGCTGAGATACCTATTTAGCATACCAAATTGGACTTGGCTACCAAGTCCTCCCAGCACCCCTCAGTCCCTACCTGTTAAAGGGTATGGTTGGCATAGCCCACCCTGCCCCTAAACTTCTCCAGCCCAGGCTGCCCTCCCTATATAATCCAGTTATTTTAGTTATGCGGTCTTTTGTCTACCCTTTACTCTCCTGGTCTCCAGACTCTCCTCTCTTTCCTTACATGGCCCCCGCTCAGGGTCATGCTCACTGTGGACTCTCCTAGATGTCTCTGCCTCTGGCTATGCTCTCCCCCAAATCTATAAAAAAAATACCTAGTCATGTCTCCTTTTTCATTTTTTCATTCAGCTACCGTGCCCTACGTTGCCGTTTTAACAGGTTACTTTTAGAATCTAGTCTGTCCTACAACGACCATGTTAGAGTGATGAAGTCTTCACTTTTTTAAGGAATGATTATCATTAACCGAAGCCCCTAATTTATTCAAATTCCTGCCCAGCTTCTATCCATCTTCTGAGCCAGAATCCAATGTTATTTTTAGTTATCTTTCCATGGCTGGGGCCGTTTCTCCCGGCTGACAACTTCCGGGAGTACTGACCCGGCATTTGGAAGCATGCCCCATGATCATGAAGTTTGTCTGATGCAGTTCTCATGATAGGAATGGAGTATGGGTTGTTCGGAGGCAAAGTGACATTTTTATTGTGTGGTATCTGTTGGAACACCTGAAAAGAGTGATGCATGGTGAACAACGCCTTGGGGAACCGTGAGAGAAGCTCTGGGAGAAAAGGCAGAGAGAGGGCCTTTTACCTCAGGTGCATTTCGTTCTCTGGATTGTTTTTGGTCATGAGTTTGTGCCTCCTGCGACAAACATTTACACTCAGATGGAGGTCAGATCATAGCTATAGAACCCGATCTGGTCAGTGTACCCCGAATCTGTACGTAGCCTCTGCCTTGCTCTCCTGCTTTCCCAGATACAATCTATAGTACGCGCCAGGCATCGTGTTTAAATTGGTCTGTCCTGAGACAGTTCTGAGAAAGGGCTGCTCCGTCAATAGTATGTGTGCACTGGCATCTAGTTACGTGCTTTTCTGAGTTCAAACAACCTTCCCTGGATCATCGCCGTGGCATCCTCGCCACGAACAAGTCCGAGGTATCAGGAAATGAAAGAGGCAACGCCCAGCTGTTTGTGCTAAGAGAATGCGTTTGTGTATGTGCTGCATCTGTATGTCTGCCCATAAGGAGTGAGCAGCCTTATATACAGACTCACAGGGCAGTGGAGAAACCCCAGGTGTAAGAGCTTGTGTTTCCCTGGTGCTAGATATTGATGCCAGGTGAGCAAGGCCGGGGCTGTAAGCCAGGATTAGAGAACAGGATGCACCTGATGCTATCAGCTGACGAGCAATGCACAGAGGTCCTGTGCGGGCTGGGGCCCAACACATTGATTTCTTTGTTACTTTGTTACACTCTGTATAAAAAGTACACCGAAAAGGAAGTAAGGTTGTCTACAGCCCCATTCTTTCAGGTCCTGAGATCCCAGGTCCAGCACACAAGGTCTGCACGGGAGGATCAAAATCAATAGATATCAAACACACATTTTTATGAACTTATGATAAAGCTAACAGATTTGATCATGTAGCTGACATAGCATTTTTTACATGTCTCCTCTGTAAGGTTTTCTCCTTTCTGCAGTGTGCTGTGGGAGAAAGCCATCATACCAAATGCTCGTCTGACTAGAGCATTTTCTAAGCTATTCCACACTTCCTGCCCCAAACTTGGAGCCAGGCCTTGTAACTTTTCAGTCAAGCACATTTGGTGGAAACTAGAGATCTGGCGAGCAGGGGTGTTCTTTAGGCTGTTCACGGTTCTTTTCTGTAGACACCTGTCACTCCAAGGACTGAATTCCAGGTCTTGTCCATGCGAGGCTAATGTTGCATCACTGACTTCTTCATGGAAATAAAACCCACCAATTTCATTGTGGTATTTGTAAATCCAAATAAAAGATTGCAGTATTTCTATCTCAGTCCTTTGGCTTTGCATCAGCATTTCTTCTCTCTTGTGGTTAAAAAGATAGTTCCCAAGCATACTTAATATGCTTTATTACCAATACAAATTCAGAAAAAACATTTCAGAAATAATGGTAGTTACTCCTGATAACATGAGCTCTGAAAGTGTCAGCTCATGCTGGAGAGAAGGCTCAGAGGTTAAAAGCCATAGGCATCTTATTGTTTGTTTGATTGTTTTTGTTTTTCGAGACAGTGTTTCTCTGTATTGCTTTGGAGGCTGTCCTGGAACTCACTCTGTAGACCAGGCTGGCCTCGAACTCACAGAGATCCTCCTGCCTCTGCCTCCCGAGTACTGGGATTAAAGGCAAGCGCCACCACTCCCAGGCTTGCCACAGGCATCTTAATTGCAAAATGCGCTGTAATACATTACCGTCATTTCAGGAGGCAGCATCACCGTCTTATCAAAAAGACATTAGCGTCACATTTTTTTTCCTCCCCATCAATTATTAAAGTAGCTTAACAGAAATGAATGTTGCTTTTCAAACTTGCCATTGAAGACAAGTCTTAATTATTTTCACTCACGACTTAACGTCTATACCACTCTAAACTTTAAACACTTTTCCCCCACCGGACAGAGGTGGTTTGCAAAACCTCCAGAACTGAAACTGCTTACCTTCCTCCCCTCCCCCAAAATGGGCTTGGTCACTAATAATTAACACCCTTCTTGCAGCCATGCAACCTACTGGGACACGCAGCCCAGGGGCCCTAGGTCCTCTTGCAAGTTGACAGCCGCACCAACAGCTTTTTAGTAAGCGACGGTACCGAGTGCCACTCAAGTTTCCAAATCAAGGGTGTCAAGGGAACGCTGCCGCGAGCCGGCTCCCAGGGACGAATGCTCGCATGCACAGGTAGGCTTGCTCCTGCCCACCTGGCCCACCCACGTCCAGTGCAAAGTTTGCAACGCCTTTCGGAACCGGGAAGCCACTTCTCGAATTCTCTTTTATTACTTTATGCCACTGACTCACTAACTGGCCGGTCAAAGGGTGAGGGCGGAAGATGGCAAGTACTTCCTACAGACAGAAAGCAAGCACCGGCAAAGCCAACCGGCCTGCTCCAGCCCTCCGCCGGGGCGCAGGTGCGAGCCGCTGGGCAAGGTCTCCAGGCGCGGGGAGGGCAGGAGGCGGGGCTTTCCGAAGCCGCGCCCACCTCCAGGTGCTCGGCGTCACGGAGTCCGCGCCGCGCTGATTGGCTCCTCCCGGGAGCCCCGCCCCTCAGCCGCAGCCGCGCCGGCTCCGGCGTCGCCGCCATCTTTGTTGATGTGTCAGCTCCTCTGGGGTTCCTGGGAGAGCCTCGGTTTGAGAGCCGGGCGGCGGGGGGTGGGGAGACGGCGGCCGCGGTCTCCACGCGTGACTCCCGCGCCCGCTCCGTGTAGGCGTGACCGGGCCATGGACGCGCTCGCCCCGGAGCCGGAGCTCCAGCGGCCTCGTTAAGGCGCGGCCCGGGGTCGGGCTACGGACGGTGAGTGGGCGAGCGAGGGGCGTCCGGGGCGGGCGAGGGGCGTCCGGGGCGGGCTGGCGGGGCCCTCGGGGGCTGTGTGCTCGCCCGCATCGCTCTCCCGAGTGGACCGCGAGTTCCCGTCGCTCGGCAGCGGCGGCTCTGTGAGGTCGCGGCTGCCGGGGGTTTCTAACGTTGCATCTATCTCCCCGAACCTCGGTGGGGAACCGCTCCGATCTCCTTTTCTGCCGTAGCTAAAGGAGCGGGCCCCCGGGGAGAGGCTCGCTCACGCCTTGGCTTTCGGGTAGCTTTGCATCCGGAGCAGCTGGGGTTCGAGCCCCGCCGCTTGCCCTTGTGAAGCGGCGGCAGCGGAGGAGGAGGAGGAGACGGTGAAACCGCGCCTGCTACCCACCCGGGGCTCCTCAGTCAAGACCCCGCGTCGCCTGCCTGCCACCGATGCCCAGCCTCTCTTTGTTTCTTCTGAGGTGCCGGGCAGGAGAAGGGTGCAGCAGGATCACCATCAGCACGACAGAGTCGCAGGGGGACGGACCCTGGATGCAGTCTGCTGAGGGTTGTGAGTGTGGCGAGCATCACCTGTGTGTGTGTGTGTGTGTGTGTGTGTGTGTGTCTGTGTGTCCGTCCAGCTCGCTGTTGTCAGAAGACCACCGCGCCGATTGGCCTGCTTTCTTCCTCCCTCCCTCCCTCTCTCTCTCCTCCGTCTTGTCCTGTTTTAAGTGCAGGGAAGATTTGGAAGGTAGGCCGGAAATCTTGTAGTATTGCTTCAGTATAACTTTGGAAGACTTCCCGAAGATGCGTGGACTTGTTTGTTTATTTACTTTTTAAGGCTTGTTCTAATTCAGAATAATAGAAGCGTAAGGGCTTTTTGTTTGTTTTCTTAAGCAGATTCCATGGAGTATGACTGGAGTCTTAATTTTTTTGCTGCTTGGAAGGCAGTGTGGTAGTGCAGTGACCACTCATAAAAATTTAGTTCCTCCTCCCACGGACTAAAGAATATTTATTACCCTTTGATGCTACTCAGTGAGGCGGCACCGCTGAGCATGGTTCGCACATTGAGTTCTCAAAGGCATTTATGGCTACACGGTGACTTTAGTAAACAGCACCCTCAACACAACTCCTTAGGGACTCTACCCGGGTTTGCCAAAGTTGTCTGACTGCCTGTGGGGAAAGAATCCCAAACCTCAAATTGTAGCTTATTTTCCTTTCGATAAAAACTAGGATTCTTTTTTTTTTCTTTTCTCCTTGTTTCAAATGACAAAGACCAATTTTGAATTTCTCATAAACTCACAAACATCACTTGGCTAACAGTATTTAATTGTTCTACTTAGTATTTTAGAGGCAGCAATAGGATAGATAATCTAGACCTACAAATTATACTACAATCCTACACCATTTCAAACTTTACTTGAACTTTCTTAACAGAATTTTGTTTGCTTTAAGAAGTAGAATCTTGACGCAAAGGGGTATTAGACACCAAGAGCTAAAAGAAACCCCAGCACAGTACCGACTGTCAAGAGTGCATTTCTTAATGCTTGTCTGTTGAGGTGTTTAAGTAGGATTATGTAGTAGATGCTAATAAATATTGTTTGTAAATTAACTAAATCTAGGCATCAGTCCAACTCTTTAAAGGAAACTTACAAATCCCATTTAATTGAGGTCAATTGTTTTTCTATTCAGTTTTCAGATTTTTAAGGAGATAATACTCTGTTGGACTTTTCTTGAAGTTGATGGGTTTTATACAAATAGCTTCAAAGTAAAATTTCTATATCAATTTTCTGCCTTAATAGTTTAAGAGCTGTTTTAGGGTCATGTAAAAATGCATAGATCTAAAGTCCCAAAACTATGATTGCCTGTTACAAAGGAGGTGTTAGTACTGCAGGGTGTATAAACTACTCAGTATCTCACTGAAGATAAAATGTGAAAAGATCAAAAAGAAAGACATAAACCTGTCAGCATTGTGTCATTGTGTAATGGGTAAAGGACTGAAGGGCACTCAGTACATTACTGTACCTCTGAAAAGCCTTCTTGCAGAACCATTTCTAGAATTCTGTGACACTGCCTCAGCCTCATCTCTAAGTAAAAATTGATCTGCATAAATTTGCCTTCAGTGAAAATGCAGTGTCAGCTGTTTTCATCAGGGAAGCATGACTTAGTGTTTCTTACACAAGTTGTCTTCCGTTCCTTATGTTGTTACTTTAAAAGCTTAATCTAGAGAAGTGTGTCAGGGTTAATGCATATTACAATTTACTATTTAGGGTTATGAGGACATTCTTACAAAGGACAGGAACTATTTTATTAAAGAACAGAAGTGAGCTCATGGGTTTAGTTTTAGTTTGCATGTATTAATGTATCTTGACTAGAGAAGTACGCACCTAGTATTATTTGTGAGTGGAGTGGCACATAATTTCAAAATTGTAAAAAGTATTGTGAACCAAGATCTTCAACTGGATGTAAAACAGGTTCACATATATCTGTATGTATTTGTATACATATCTTGTGAAATGCTGGTAGACTGTAAAATACTGTAATAACGTAAATACTGACCTGTAATGTTTCAGCATTTTTAGCAGCAAAACAAATGAGATATTGTACGTCAGGTCTGCACCTGAGTGCTCCTGTTTAATTCTGCTCCATGTCCCCAACATCTAAAACAATACCCTTGTGGAAAAGCTGCCCCAGGTCTCTTTGGCAGATGAGCTCTTCGTGTGAGGCTTATTTGATGACCTGTTACCAACTACCTGTAAATGGAATTCATTAGGTTTAGTGAATGAGCCTATGGTTTTTGCTCATAAAGTACTAATTGTTTTGTGTGGAATAACTTTCTAGGAATGTGAGTGTGCTTCCTGAGGAGTAAAGATGGAGTTGGAATATTGCTTGGTGGTGAGCCTTGGTGATGGGTTGCCTACAGCTGATGTGCTCCACCCAGAGGGAAACCAGCTCCCACTGCAACAGGCTGAAGCATGAGGTGTCCTGTAGTACTGTGTCAGAGATGGGAGAGCTGTGGGGACAGCAGGATAACCAAGAGGGATTTTGTGATTGTGTTATAAACAATGTATTTCCCTTCATGAGTGACTTATTGCAAAGTCAAAATAGTTTACTTCAAAATAGCCGTGCACATTATAATAACCACACACCCTGGTGTGTCTGTGGTCTGTCCAGCATTTAAAACAGTCTAGTTTTACCTTCCTTCCCTTTTGTAGCCTACTGGCAGACTGTCATCTTCAGTAATTTTGATGACACTTTTCTTCTAAAAGGAAAAACTTCGACAGCATCCCAGTACTTCTTCAGTGTTGCTAAGTGGGGACGCCTGTGGGAAACCCAGCTGGCACCCCTGACCCTATAATGGTAGACAGGTCGGTTTATGGAGGGGTTGGCCGGTCTGTGTCTGCCGCAGTTCTCACGTACTCCTCAGTATGGACATTGTCACGTGGACGAGCATAGGCCCTCCTGAACATCTCTTTTTCCTCTGGTCACCAGTCAGTGTTCACTGGAACTTCAGAAACTAAATTTGCACAGCCCTGATGGCATTGACTGAGATGCCAGTTTATATAATGACATTCGCACAGGTCATAGCATATTGAGAGGTGGTATGTAAATACCTGTCTTTTAAGTTTAGTCTTTAATTGGTAGAATATTTAAACAAATTCTAAGCGTGGGTAAACAGGTTGTTTTGTTTTGCTGTTACCTAGATGAAGCTCCTGTAGAATGTGCAATACATTTTCTGTTCTGCATTGTCTTGTACACTGGAAATCACCTTTCTAAAGACCACTAAAGGCATTTCTGACCCAGGTCATTTCACAAAACCAGTGGGCCATGCTTCCATTGAAAAGAACTCAACAGTATTTGCAAAAATGGTGGTAAAAGTCATACAGAGTGTATGTGTTATTGTTACCTGCTTATTGCTATTATTGTTGATGTTACAGAACGTTTCAGTTCAGAGTAAATTTACTTGTTGCAAGAACTGTGCTCATTTAAAAGGTGGCTGCCTCTTCAGAAGGGTCAAGAAAGGCTGTCTGCTGTAGACATACTGTTTCAATTTACAGGACATAGTTCTTGAGCTTGTAGTAGGGGCAGTTTGGATGAGGATACAGCATGAGATTCAGTGTCTAGGCAGACTGAAGGCGGAACATTTTAGATAGGGCAAATCCGTGGGATGGGAGCGTGCGGTGGGGATTGTGAGTGTATTGTTGGAGCACGACACTACAGTAGATGGATGGATGTGGGAACTAAAGCGACTGCTTTAGTGCAGCATCACAGTGATGTCATTTACAAAGCAAAAGTAACAGGAAAGAAGATCACATAGTCTCCCTGAAGAAGAATTGAAGCTATGAGTCCCTAACTGCTTGACTGAACAGTGTCTGTCTGATCTATTCGAAGAGAGACAGGTTTTCTGTCTTTCCTCTTCTCTGGCTTGCCTCTTTAGGGTGGAGACAGAACTTTATTAACTGGAGCTTTAAAGACCACCGTCTGAAGAAGAGCCAAGTCTGACTGTGTGTGACCACCATTAGAAGAAGAGCCAAGTCTGACTGTGTGTGTCCACCATCAGAAGAAGAGCCAAGTCTGACTGTGTGTGACCACCATCAGAAGAAGAGCCAAGTCTGACTGTGTGCGAGCACCATCTGAAGAAGAGCCAAGTCTGACTGTGTGTGACCACCATCAGAAGAAGAGCCAAGTCTGACTGTGTGTGACCACCATCAGAAGAAGAGCCAAGTCTGACTGTGTGCGAGCACCATCAGAAGAAGAGCCAAGTCTGACTGTGTGTGACCACCATCAGAAGAAGAGCCAAGTCCTACTGTGTGCGACCACCGTCTGAAGAGTCAAGTCTGACTGTGTGTGTCCACCATCTGAAGAGTCAAGTCTGACTGTGTGCGACCACCGTCTGAAGAAGAGCCAGGTCTCAACTGCGGCAAGAGCTCTCTTCACAAGTAGTTCCTGGTCCTTATGACAGTGTGCTACAAACTTCATAGCTTCTCTGAATTTGATGATTTGTCACTTCCCTTAGTAACCCTGTCCCCACCCCCTGTGACTGTCCCAAATAATCTGCCCTTCTACTAACTACTTTGCTCGTTGACTTGAAGTTACAGGAAGAGAGAACTGAATGAGTGAGAAACCAAGTGTTGCAGGTGTGAGATGAGGCCTGGGCTGGGTTGCACTGGGGAATAGTGACAGAAAAGCAGGAGAACAAATTGTTTGAGTGATTATGAAAGCAAAGGACAAGGGAGAAGTCAGATGATTGAGTGTATGATGCCATCGGCGGGGACTCAATTACATGTACTGTGGTTAGAATTTCAGTTTGGCCATTTTGTGTAAGACTCTGGAGAGCACTCCAGTAGGAATGCCTGTTTTCAGGTAGACCTTAATATAGCATGAACAAGAGGACATAGCTCTGTGCCTGGGACTCAGGGTACAGAGCTGAAAACGCTGACCTAGGCACAGCTCTGACTTACTGCTGGGTAAGTGCTAGGCAGGGAGGAGGATTCAAATGAACCCTGGGGACCACGGAAGCGGAACGATAGATGATAACACGTAAAGAGGAGTCTAAAGCTGTTCAGGAATTTCTTCTCACTAACGGAATGCTGGCGAGTCACAATGCCTCTATCATCCCATCTCTGTCTCAGGGTTCCTTCTGAGTTCAGCTTCTGCTCATAGAGCATTAACTGGTTAGGAAGTTAAAAACCACTGCAGTTTTACATTTGTAAGATTTTAAATTCAGCAGCAGCGAATTATATCTTACATTTATTGTATTGTATATCATAGCACATGCTGTATCTTTAAAGAAAGTTACTATGAGTGAACTAGCTTTATGTTGCTTTGAGGCTAGTACACCTGTCTGATCCTATAACAAAAACTATGGTATTTTTTTTATTCCAAGATTCTTGGAATAAGTTACTGAGATTCTCGTGTGTTCACTGCATTTGTCTAGCCTAAAGTCTTTGAATCAGTTCAGGCTTGGGCTTATTTATGAAGTCTATACAGCATAATAGTGTCCATTTGTGTCATGTGCAGGTAGGTAATGCATAGCTAAGTGATTGGGAGCCTGAGATCGATGGCTGTAGTAATTGTCTCCACAGTTGGTCCAAAGGAACAGCGTGTTGGACAGACACCAAGGCCCTTTCTTACTTACAGTGACTCCTTCCCACACCCTAGAATAATGTTCTTCAAGCGCTGGCTTTATTTTCAGCAAGTACTTGAGAGCTTACTGGGTGCTGGGAATCATACAGTAAAGTCAAATGTTGTTACGAGTCTTAGAATTTACTATAATTCATCTTTAGCTACATTCACTGATGCTTAGTATTCTGAGGGTTCTGTGTGGCCAGTCTTCTCTTCCCTATGCCAGTGTCCTCTGATCATCATCCATCTCAAAGTCTGATGTAAGCATGCATTTTTTTGTTATACAGTTTAATCTTTTTTAAATTTCCTACATGTACATTTCATATGGAAATTACTTCATTGTGGTTGCTCATCTGGCCAGCTGGTCTGATCTCATCTTTGGTAACTTACCTGTTTGTAGCTGCACTGTTGAAACATGACCAGAGACGCTGATAATTCTCTTCTTGAAGACAAATAGGATTCGTTTTTTATTTTTAATTATGAGTATGTTTGTTGGGGCTAGGGGTTGTGCATATGGCTATAGCGCCAGAGGATGTCAGTCTAGGGTGTTGGATCCCCTGGAGCTATAGGTACAGGCAGTTGTGAGCTGCCCCAACATAGGTGCTCGGGACTGAACTTGAGTCTTTGCAAGATCAATATGCACTCTTAACTGCTGTACCATCTCTCCAGCCCTGGTAGAAGATTTTATATTCTGTATTTCAGGGTAATTTTTGAAGTTGACTAACTTTCCATAAAGAAGACAGAGACGGAATCTTCGTGAATAATATAAAAAGGTGTCCTCATCTAGTCATTAAAGGGTTGCTCTGCTGACCTGGACAGTAGATCCAGGCTGTCTCTGGTTTGCAGTGAGGAGAGTGCTTTACAGTCAACCGAGAAGCTGGTTCCCAGCGAGGCCTCTGGGCTGAAGCAGTGTCTTGTTATTTTTAAGCATCCTTCCTGTGAGTTTCTGTCGCCCTCACTCGTGCGCACAGTGTGCTGTCTTGCTCCGAGATGAGTCCAGCAGGTCCCTTGCTCGCTCTCCTTTTGCCCACTTCCTCATGGGCCTTCAGGAGCCCATCACACACCCCGGGCTCTCTTCCTTCAGGCCTTCCAGTCCCATGCATTGTTCCGGTGCCTGCTGCTGCAGACCAGAGCTAGTGAGGATGGACACTGGGAGATGGCAGTGGCCTACTGGTTGTGTCCACTTTGGGTTAGCTGTTCTCTTTTTGTCCTCTAGGGAAGGCCCTTATCTACAGGATTTATGAGTGGTAGGTACACATTATGGTCATGTCATCACATGTGTGTAAAGATGTAAAGCTCTTAGTTTGTTTTTTTTTTACTTGATTTCTCAGATGTAGATGAAGATCAGGAGTGGATTTGAAGAAATGCAAAGTGAATTGTTGCCAGTCAGCATGTCTGAGACAGAGCACATGGCCTCCATTTCTTCTGATGCAGATCCTGGGAAAAGCCCTGAGCCAGAGGAAGACCCGGGCAACAAATTAGAAACTGAATCTGAACTACTGTCATTGAACTCTGACAAAATTTTATGTCAACCTAATGAACACAGTAGTCAAATTGAACAAGAAAACTGTATTCCAGACTGTGGTGGTGGTGAGAATTCTTGTGCTAAAACAGACACGTGCTCAGAAAACTCTGAACAAGCAGATGGCTTTCCTGCTGGGGACTTTGCAAAACAAGCATCAAAAACAAGTGACCCGGAACCAACGATGGTGACTCAGATACTGGCAGAGTTAAGGTCGTCTGCATTCACAGAGGCCAACAATGCAAAGCCTTCCTCAGCAAGCCTCTACGATACAGACTGTACCAGGAAACTCCTTTCTCAGATAAAGACTGTTTCGGCATCAGACGATTTGTTGGGAGAAATCGAGACTGAGCTCTTATCTGCAGAGTTGACAGAGGAGCACCAAGTACCAAACGGAGTGAATAAAGGAGAGCAGGCCTTAGCCCTGTTTGAGAAGTGTGTGCACGGCAAGTACTTGCAGCAGGAGCTCACTATTAAAAAGTAAGTGGTGCTGTGGGAAGACACAAGGCAAAACCACAGTTGCTCTCAGGAAAGTAGCCTCCTGTCTACTTTTCATTTCAGAGTGCAGCATGTACGTAGTTGATGGGTAAGTGAGCCTACGGGAATAGATACAGGAAATAGTGGGAGCTCATTAGGGAGTGAGACTCTGTTATAAAAGCAATTCAAGTTATGGCAGAATAAGTTCAAGAGGAAATGAAGAGTCAGGAAACTTAAGTTTGGAAGCTTAGAATGTGGAGAGCAGAGTAACTAGTTGATTGAGCATGTTGTGCTTTTAGACTTCTGTTTGTACAGTGCTTGATGAGAATTTGAGTTTCTTCAGCATGTTCTTTTGGTTTGGTTTTGGTTTTTCAAGACAGGGTTTCTCTGTGTAACAATCCTGCCCTGCAACTCCCTCTGTAGACCAGGCTGGCCTCTGCCTCTGCCTCCTGAGTACAGAAATTAAAGGTGTGCACCATCACCACCCAGATTAATTTTTCTATTTTTTAATTTAAATTTAAGTTTTCTAAATTTTTAATTTAAAAAATAAGTGTGTTCTGATGTAAGGAGTGTGCACAATTAAAAGTCAGGGACAACTTTATTTCATTTCTCCCTTCTCCCTTTACATAGGTTCTGGGGATCAAATCCCTTAGCTTAGGCTAACGTCTTCATCCCCTACAGTCTGCACCTACTCCCCAGCCCTGGCCCCAAGAGATTATTCCTGATACCCTTTCCTGGTTCTCTTAGACGTTGAATCTTAACAGTTTAGACAGCACTTACATCTTCTATCTCATATGCCATTAATTATGTGACAGGTAGATACTGTGCATGTGGGTCCTGAGGCATAAACTAAGAGCCTGCTAGAGGGTGAGATGCCAGTATACACAGCGTAAGAGCCAGGCTTTCTGAGTTTGCTTTAGTATATACAGTATACACAGCGTAAGAGCCAGGCTTTCTGAGTTTGCTTTACAAGTTTTACCAAGTGTCACTGGAAGTCACCAGGTTAAAAGTATGAGGAGTGCAGTAAACAGCAATAACCAAAAGCTCTTCCTTTGTCCACCCTGTCGGAGCAGGAGCATTGTGGCAGAGTGGATGAGGACGCTGGTCAGAACCCTTAAATGGGAAGAGTCCCATTGCTGAGTCAGATTGTTCACTCCTGTGCATACTGTGGCATCATATAAGTGTCAAATGTTATTGTAAACTTGACTGATTTTTTTGTTTGTTTTACATATAATATTTTTTTAATTACAAATCAAAATGCTTCTTGGTTCAGGTAAGCTACTAGATGTTTTTCTTAACTTTTATCTCCATTTAATGTCCTTTCACTTCCTTTAATTGACATTTTCATAAATGTATCCTTTCCCAAAAGCCTGATTTGCTGGGGGTTTTTGTTTGTTTGTTTCTCTGTACATTAAAGATGTACAAAGCGATGGTTTAAAAGTCATTACGAAATGATTCTGCAGTCAAGCTAGATAACATATCTATCCTCTCATGTAATTATGTGTGTGGTGTGAAACCTTGAGATTTACTCTCTTTGCAAATTTCCTGTTCAAAATACTGTTTCCTCCCTTCTCTGAGTCTGTCTCTTGCTTTTCATTCCCTACCCCCCCACTTCCCTTTCCTTCTTTCTGTTTCTCTTCCTCTCCCCCTCTTTCTTCCCTTTTCTTTTTTTTCATCCTCTTCTCCCCACATTGTGCTAAGGGTCCTTACAAATAATAATATGTACTGTTACGCCCCCAACCTGTTATCACCAGGTTGTACATTAAGTTCCCGGACCTGGGAGTTTGTACCCATTGGATCTCATCTCCTGTGTCCTCCACGTTCTGACTCCTGGAGAACACCACCCCACTCTGTTTGTATTCTGTTTTCCCATGCGTCAGTAGTACTGTTCAGTGACCCAACTTGAACTCTTGAGACAGTCGTCTGTGTGGAGTGTGTACATTAGGTCTAGGAACAACAAATTTAGACTGTGGGTATGGCCACTGGTGAGGCGCTTGCCGAATAGGGCTGCTTGACCAGAGTAGGGGATTTTTTGTTTGCCATTTGCTTTTTTTTAATACCCAGTGTATGAATCAAGAAAGTGAGCATTTACTTAGGCTTGCTGATGAGAGTAGCTGCTCTTGTCTTTCTCATCTTCCTACCTCTTCTTCTGTAGACAAGACTAGAAATAGTTTATCCTTGAACGTACCATCACTCAGTGGTAAAGAGATACTCTGAGAACGCGTTAGGTGTGGGGTTTTGTTCTTATATGAATGTGGCATTCTACTTAAACATAATCATAGGTGTCTACATTAGTCTGTAGATAATATTCCGTATCTCACTTCCCTTTCCTGCTTTATTTCTATTGCCCTTTACTATTTAGGTTAATTAAAGAAAATAAGAATCATCAGGAACTCATCTTAAATATTTGCTCAGAAAAGGACAATTTAAGAGAAGAACTGAAAAAAAGAACAGAAACAGAGAAGCAGCATATGAACACAATTAAACAGGTAAAGAGACAAATCTTCATAAAGTAAACTGCAAAAAAATATAATAAGTTAAAGCATTTCAGATGAGGAAACTACTTCCTATTTAAAGCATGAGAACGAGCCTGAATTATTTTATATAATGATTTGTGTAGCTGTTCTAAATATAACACATTTTCTGTCCAAACCATGAAAAGGGCTTGACTTGATTTAACTTCTTACCTACTTAGGGAGGATGTAGTTAACAATAGTGACACCTGGACATTTATGTCTGCCTTCAGGATCTTGTTCTCACTGTGGGTCCAGTGTGGTTTCATTTTGTGAGTTAGTTGTACTGTGAGTGTCGTGTTAGGCTAACTGGTGTCTGTAGCTGGAACTGTACTTTCTTTCAGGGTGTGATTGCTGAACAGACGCACAGGCGAGGGCTTAGGTTGGGAACAGAGCAAAAGCCAATCTTGGATTTTCTGCTTTTCTTCCTTCTGTGGACAGGGTGTGGGTGGCAGAACTTAGCACTGGCGTGTTCTGAGAAATATATCCTCCCTGTGTGGGTATCATAAGGTGCCCTTCAAGTAAAAGTGCTGTGAGACAGGGGTGCAGTCTTGAAGTGTGCCTGCAGTCTGTCATTCGCACAAGCATCATCATGCAAATTTCCTAGAAAGCTGTTAAAGACGCAGCAGCAAACGGCTGGGTTACAGAAGTAAAATCAAGTTTTCATTTATTTGTGTTTTGATGTGTTTATTATAGTTGTACATAATTGAAAGGAGACTGTAAGCTGTTGTGTACAGTAGTTAATTGTGATTTTGTGTGCGTGTGTGTCTGTGTGTGCGCGCGTGCTCCAGTTCTACATGGAAGCCAGACTTAAAGGGCTGAAGCCTGTGAGGGGACCTGAGGAATAGTCAGGATCCATACTTTTCATTCTTCATTTGCATTGTGTATATCAACTATATCGTTAGTCTGTGGAAACAGCTGTAAAATGTAACCCGAAACCATTCTCCTTACAGTTAGAATTAAGAATAGAGGAACTGAATAAAGAAGTTCAAGTTTCCCGCGATCAGTTAGTAGCACAGGACGCCGCAGCTAAAAATGCAATTCAGCAAATCCACAAAGAGATGGCGCAGAGGATGGACCAGGTATTTCATGTCACTGTTAACTTGATAGTTTGGTATCCATTTATTAGACTATGACCATTGGGCTAGTGTGACTCCAGTGGTATTCATATAAAGAGCCTTCAAAGGAAGCAGAGGACAGGAGGTGACCCTGCGGGGAAGACTGCTTGCTGGTCTTGCAGAGGTCAGCAGTTTGCAGACTAACACCCAATCAGGTGGCTCTCGGCCACCTGTCACTCCAGTGCCCGGGTTCTGATGCCCTCTTGTAGCCTCCAGGGCATTCCCATGCGTGTGCTCAGACAGAAACGCACACATACACATAAAGCACGTAAAACTCAGGTAAAGCAATCATAAGTACATGCTAATTGTAACAATTAAAAATTGAGGCATACACGGGACAAAAATGAGTCACCTCTTCCCCTGTGTCTCCAGTCCCTTCTGTCCCTTTCCTTGTTGGAGAGCTAATTGTTAACATTTTGTTATCTCATACACGTGTACTAGTGACACCCACTTGTGTGTCCATGTCTTTTCTAGCCCCTTTCGTGTGCTACAACAAAATGCTTGAGTCTGGATACTCTATTACAAAATCAGAAGCATGTTTACGTTATAGTTCTAGAGGTTTCAGAGCTGGGCAGCTCAGAGAGAGTGATGTTAGATGACTTCTGTACCTGGAAGCCACACTTTCTTCCCAAGCCCTTGCCTACCAGCCCTGCTGCCTGAACCCCACTGCCAGTGTGAGGTTGCAGGGACTTGTTAATGTGGGCCACGGTGGATGGGTCTCTTCCTAGGGCCCTGAGCGGCCCAGAAACCGGCCAGGAAGCATGTCGTGTGGAGAAGGGAAGTATATACACATAGAAACCACAGCAACCAAAGTGAAAGGAGTAAGAAAAAGGCTGGGAGCTTAGTGTAGAAGCCGAAGCCAACCCTGCAGAGGACAGTGTTCATCCATAGGTGTCTCCATGCCAGATGTTTTTATTAATGCTAGGTGATGCTTTCTTTCAAAGGCTAATAAGAAGTGTGAAGAGGCCCGCCAAGAGAAGGAAGTGATGGTAATGAAGTATGTGAGAGGTGAGAAGGAGGCCCTAGATCTTCGAAAAGAAAGAGAGACCCTTGAGAGAAAACTTAGAGATGCAAATAAGGAACTGGAGAAAAACACTAACAAAATTAAGCAGCTGTCTCAGGAGAAAGGGCGGCTGCAGCAACTTTATGAATCAAAGGTATAACTCGTGCCTAGCGTGAAGGCCAGGCCTCTTTCCTTAGTCACCCGGCGGTGTGGGACCGAAGCATTCAGACTTACAGTGCTTTTCCTTAGCTTACTTAGGTGCCTCATGCCCTGTTGGTAGAAAGGTTTTTCTTAATCATTTTTAAAACTTTCTTCTAGAATCTATTGAAAAACAATAGTTTGTATCTCAAAAAAATATTTTGCTAAAATATGTACATATTAGTGTCAGTTGTGAATAGCTTTAGAATCAAAAGTATAATTTGACCACAATCTTGTTTTTTATTTAATACATTTTCTCCCTGCAGTCCTAGAGATTGGGTTTAGGGATGGGTGAGGTCGCCACTGCTGAGCACATCTCCAGGCCTGGCCAGGGTCTTAGTGCAATACTGACTTTACTGGAGAATATAGTTTATGTTTTTCTTACTGAAAAACGTATTTATTCTAGAGCTGTCCTAGGAGGTTGAGTAGCTGAAGCCATGGCTATTGAGAGCTCTTGCTGTTGTCTTTTATGTTGTCACTGTCCTCAGGGACTCTGGCAGAACCAGCTCAGTCATGTTTTACTGTACTGCCAGGCAGTTAAGAAGAATCAGACTGTTTGTCTTCCACTGTACCCATTGGCTACACTAGGTAATAATTACCCTCACATCTGTTAATTTGATTTAGAGTTTTATTACTCTTATCATTTGAACCATAAGTCAGCTTTATGACCTCTGGCCTGTAGCGTAGCCACCCCTGAACTATTGTGTTGCTGCACAGTAAGACGCACGGTGATTGTTTAAGTAAAACGCGACCTGATGTCCTTTTAGGAAGGTGAAGCGTCTAGACTCCTCAGAGAAACAGACAAGTTAAAGGAGGAGATCAGCTCTTACGTCATTAAAGTAAAGTGGGCACAAAACAAGCTAAAGGCGGAAATGGATTCACACAAGGTGAGTGTGGCAGTGCATGGGGTGGCCGTGAGTGTGAGGGCCAGTTCCCTGATGGACAGTGAGCCGTGGAACTTTCCTCACTGACTCCTGCAGGGCAGTTTGGATCTGAATGTTGGGTCATCATAAGAAGGGAACTTTCTGGTGTGGCTTACAGTGTTAAATTTGCATTTCAGATTTTACAACACCTAAATTTCCCATGTTACTTATCATTTTTTTAAATACTCAAAATTTGAGAGGATGGAAACTTCAATATATGTTATTGGAATTAAAATGAAAAAAACTAAAGTATCTTAAGATGCTTATTAAAAATACATGTTCATATTTAAATATAATTAATCTAATATAAATAGCTTATATTTTCATAAATATTCTATTGCTGCTATACTAGCAAAAACACTGAACTGTTTGCTGCAAATACCATTTTATTTAAAAATTAATAGAATGAAATGTAGTTATGAAGTCCAGTTACTGATGGCATAGTTTAAACAGAAATAGAGTTGGTCTTTGGAGAAATAAAAATTTGCAGATGATAAAATACACAGTAAAATTCAACTCTGAAATGAGGCTTAAACAGAAGAGTGATGTTATGGAAATAATGTGTCACTTTCCAGGTTTTTAAAAATAGGCTTAATGATGCTATCTAAAACATAATTCCAGGTTGCATTATTATTATTATCATCATCATCATCATCATTTATTTTGGTTTTGACTTTTTGAGACATGATTTCTCTGATCATAGCTCTGAGTGTCCTGGGATTTACTCGCTAGACCACACTGGCCTTGAACTAGAGATCTGCTTTCCTGTCTCCCTGGAATTAAAGGTTTTCAGTACTCCCCCTGGCCATGTTGTCTTATTTAGGATTACCAGGTCAGCAGAGTTGTGAGTCACCTTTGGATATCTGTGTGTTAGTATCAGAAAACTGTAGGCAGTGTATATTGAAGTGGTCAAAGGCAGATTAGTGAGCTGTGTTCTGTCACTCAAAATTGATGGGTGTGTGGGAAACTACAGAAAACACTCAGAAAGCAGTTGGGGCAACCTGGCTCACTCAGCTACTCAGGATTTTTCCTGTACTGTGTGTTATGTGGTGAGAAGTGAAAATTCAAAATTCATAAAAAATAAATTGTAACTGCCTGAGTTGCTTTAAACTCTGAACACAATACCGAGTCATTTCTAATGTCTGTGGCACTTTTTTCCTCCATCTGTGCTCCTGAGAGAGGGGGGCTCTTAAAGTCTGTTGGAATAAGTGTGTATTTGTGAGTACTGGGTGTTCACGGATGGGATGGTGAGAGGTGAGACCAGACAGTCTTGAGAAGTGGCAGAAAGAAGGCTGACTCCTGTGAGGAGATGTAGTGTCGGTTAGCGAGTTAGGACATAAGCATGGTAAGCGTGTTGACCTGCCGTGTGGAAACTGGTGTCTCCTGGTTCTTTGTAAGCAAGGCCTTTGGTTTAGCCACCAAGCATCAGCACTGGTTAGGTAGTGCAGAGATGTGAGAATCAGAAGGCCGTTGCTTTTAAAGTCTGCACCAGGGCTCTGGCTTCACCAGTTCAGTGATCTGCCTGCTGCCACAAGCAGGAACTGACTCAGGATTTAGTGGGATCTGGCGGCGTGGGAAACCACTCAGATGAGCAAGAAACAGCAGCTGTAAACCTTCTTGGTCCCTGCTTCAGTCTTCAGTGCTAACACTGGGACACTGTGGGTTCTAGGTCTGCTGTGAGCAGTTCCTGGTCAGCCCTCCAGAGCACATTACCAGAATTGAAGTCTAAACTGTGTGTGCATCTGATGTCCAGGTCAAGATCAGACTACAGAAATGAATCATTGCCTCCCCCAAGCTCCTTTGTGGGTTGACTACAATTATTTCTCCAATATCTAACCTGTAAAAACAAGTTTTTTGTTGTTGTTGTTTTTGAAATTTCGAATGTAGTGAATAATGAAGAAAGACTCCCACATTGTACCTCATGTACTTGCTTATCTGTCTGGTTGCCATGGTCTCACTTGCCTGACCTCAGACTAAGAAGATCTCACTGGAGCATAGGTTTGGCTGGCAGCAGACATGATCGTGGTCCTTTGGCAGCATGGTTGGCTGTGCTGGGTGCTTGCCAGGCAGTTCTGTCTCCAAAGCTAGCATTCTGGGGTGGTGGCGCTGAAATCAGAGCAGCAGCTGCAGAGACCGGCAGGATACATGAGAGCTTAGACCGGAGGCCTGTGCATGTGTCTGTCTGCTGGATTGCCTACAGACAGACAGGTCCTCTGCTTCCTGTGCTCCCGCAGTCACTGTTGTCCCTGTGGCAGTGCTGCCTCATCCTCACGGCCTGTCAGGGGCTCTGATGTGAGCTAGAGTTTAGAACTTCTGATGCTAGCGTCGCTGTTGCATGCCACTTCATAAGCTGCCACCTGGGGATAGCAAGATCCAGACAGAAGTCTGTACCTTAAACTAAAAACCCACCCAAAATACAGAAACTGAAAGGCGAAAGAAACAGGCGAAAAAGGAAACAGTAAAACTATGTGAATGAAGGATGGACTGAGACAAAAGACAGCATAAGGTCCAGTGAGTGATCCTAAGTGGAGCAAACCAGGTACGTTATTGCTGGGCTTCTGGCTGCAGCACACGGACAGGAACGGAAACCAAGCCCAGCACCTTTCTGGATGGAGGATATAGAATGCAGAGTGTGGAGAACAGGAGGGTGGGGTTCAGAGATGCAAAAGCAGTAGGGTCAACAACCTCTGGAGCTCACGAGGGCTAGGAAATAAATGTTACTGTTGACACCAGCCAAAGTGCAGGGAGACAGTTAGCACACTGGGCATCAAGTGACCCTCAGCAAAATATCGCTTTAGTCGTAAGGGACATCTTAGACAACTTCAAGCTTATTTCAAGCAATTTAGTTATGCGCTAAGACAAATTATATAAATATTTTCAAATGATTGTAAAAATCGTTGCCTAAAAGTACACAATTCAGCCGGGTGGTGGTGGCGCACGCCTTTAATCCCAGCACTCCGGAGGCAGAGGCAGGCGGATCTCTGTGAGTTCGAGGCCAGGCTGGACCGACAGCCTCCAAAACAATACAGAGAAACCCTGTCTTGTAAAATCAAAAAAAAAAAAAAGTACACAATTCACTACGTTTGACATCTAATGAAAAATAACCAGCATGCAAAGAAGCAGAAAAATTCAGTTCATAGAACAAAGGAATCAGTCAATAGGAACAGATCCAAAATGGCTCATAGTATAGAATGGTAGGCAAGGATGTTAAAGTCGAAATTATAAGTATCTTCTATGTCTCCAAGGAGATAAATAAAGGCTTAAGTCAGATAAAAGGAGACATGGATAGTATTTAAAATTAGTATTGACATAACTTTCATGGTGGAAAACATTGTGTAGAATTAACAGAAGATGAAGTACTGCAGAAGACAAGATGATTGGATTAAACAGCAGTAGAGAGGCTTGGAGTGTAGCTCAGTTGATAGAGTATGCGTGAAGCCCTGGATTCAATCCCCATAAAACTGAGTCTACTGGTACATGCCTGCGATCCCAGCACGTAGGCAGTGTTCAAATTATCCTGAGCCACCTAGCAAGTTTGAGGCCAGGCTAGACTGCAAGAAACTCTTTCTCAAAACCCAGCAGTAGCAAACTTAATGAGTGATCCCCAAATATATAACTCCTACATATAACTCCAAGGCCTATGTTCCACTGTGTTCCTTATATCTGACTTCTTCAATAATTTACACTGTCTTAAAATTAACTAATAAAGCGTTCTTCCCTGTGTCACCTTTCTATCTGAATAAATGACAGCTAATTCTTTTAGTTGCGCAGGTGAAAAGGCTTGGGTTCAGCCTTGATGTCTCATCCTATCCAGCCTCTCATCTTACCCTTTTCATGCCTGTGTTTACCCAACGCCTCGTTAAAACTGCTTAGCCAGTCTGTAAGCTCTGATCCCCTCTCTAAACTTTGTTTTTATTCTGTAGCAACTGTTCCTAATATAATGAACATACCCTTTACTTATGTATTTTATTTTTTTATTTAACTCCCTCAGTAGTCTGTCAGCTTCACGGGGGTAGAGAAATTTGTTTGCTTACACAGCCATTTCCCTTGGGAATAGAGCAGTATCTGTGCAGACTGGGGAGATGGCTCGGTGTGTCAGGGTGCCTGCTCTGCAAATGAGAACTGAGTTCAGATCGCCAAAAACCCATGTAAAGTGAGGGTACTCCGGTGAGATGGGGCTGAGACAGGAGCATCTCCAGAAGCCTGTAGGCTAGCTAGCCTGGTGCATGCAGCTGCAGCAAGGTGGGCCGTGAGGGCTGACAGCTGAGGTTGTCCTCTGACCTCTGCACACATGCACACACATGCATATGACATCTAACAGAGAAGGAATAGTGCCTGAAATGCTCAGTTGATAGGTCGGTCAAACCCAGTGAGCATCCTTAACCTAAACAGTGGTTCTTTTTTAGTCTGTCAGATGTTCATTTAGTTAGTAACATTTATTTGGCACACAGGAGTCTTACTTGCTGATTGGTTTGGGTATTGGGACAGGCCAGAGCAATATGTCAGCTGTGTCTTACTTCTGATAGTGAAGATACAGAACCGCAGTGTTACCCATATTACTACGTTATTTCTATTTTAAGTGATACTGGGTTTTAGTGTGTGGCTATTTAGTGTCAAAGACCAGTAGCTCAAGGGAGACAAGTAAATGCTTAGTTGTGATATTTGTTATTAGGATGACATGTAGAGTAGTGTGTGGAGCCTAGGTGCAGTGCTGACGTTTAGGAGAGGAAGGCAAAGCTATTCAAGCATAAGAACAAGGAGAGTGATAAAGGTGAGACACCAACCTGCCTCGAGCACAGGCGGCTGCCTGGCGCTTCTCCAAGATGCAGTAGATTCTGGTCACTGCTTCTCCACAGATGCAGTAGGCTCTGGTCACTGCTTTCCTTTCTCTCTCCACGCTAGCACACCTGCTACAGTAGAGGAAGGTCTTTTGGTCATGGTTTTGCATTAAAGCAGGAAAGGCGTGACTGGGAGTTTGAGGGACCTGATCACATTGCATCTGCAGTCAGGAGGCTGGGAGAGATCACCCTCTGGTGAGCATGGAGCCAGCAAGGAATAATGAAGATGCATGGAAGAGAGTCTGTATGTTTTTAGTGGGAACAGGGGAAAGGGTGTTTGAGGAATCAGGGCAGTCAGGACTAGAACAGAGGACTAAAAAATAAAAAATACAACTGGATTTGATGAGAGTAACCCTTGGAAATCCTGTGTGAAGAATTGCTATTTTAGTAAAGAGGCTAGAAACAGACCATGTTTAGTAGCTACTGAAGCCAAGGGAGCTTCAAATGGATGTCCCAGCTACAGCCAGAGCCATTGAACACTCCACTGCTCTTACTACCTTAGTCATTTTCAGGAGTTTGGTGAAAACTGTGCATTTTAACTTATTGTCCATCAGTTAACTTTGTCAGACACAAACACTACCGCTGGACTCCTGTTTAGTCCCCAGCCTAGTGCTACAGCAGGGCCTTAGTCAGTGTTCTGTAGCTGTGAAGAGACATGGTCACAGACAACATTTAATTAGGGCTGACTCACAGTTTCAGAGGTTTAGTTCATTATTATCATGGCAGGAAACGTGGGGACATAGGGCAGACATGGTGCTGGAGAGAGCTTGAGAGTCTGTATCTATCTAGATCCTCAGGCAGCAGGAAGAGAGAGACACTGGGTCTGCTTGAACTTCTGAAACCTTAAAGCTCATCCCATGTGACACACTTCCTCCAATAGTGCCACTCCCTGAGTCTAGGGGGCGTTTTTTCATGCAAACCATCACAAACTGGACCATCCTTGCTCTTACCGTTCTTCATATCACTGTGGCTAATTTTGTCTGTCACTTTGTCACTGCAGGAAACCAAAGATAAACTCAAAGAAACAGCTACAAAACTAACACAGGCAAAAGAAGAGGCTGATCAGATCCGGCAAAACTGTCAGGATATGATAAAAACATATCAGGTATGTTTCTTTTTGATAATAGACTAATTGTTCGAACTGTTTCACAGACTTTCCATATCTGCCCAATTTGAAGTGTGCATGGATTTCTTAGGACAGTGAAGTTAAAATGCAAGTTAGTTCCTGTGTTAAAGTACCTGCAGCCCAAGACTAGGGAGCCGGTGTGATGGAAAATGCTTGCCATGCAAGCATGAGGACCAGAGCACCCCATAAAAAGCTGGGTGTGGCACCTAATCTTATTAGAGATCTTTGCATCAAAAAAATCTTAGAAAATATCAAAGTAATGAAGAGAGCAAAGTCACGCACAACTTAAAAAAACAAACAAAAAGCCACTCTTCTGTACTGTGTTGTGACCCCAAAGTGCACTATTCTTGTTTCTGAAAAGTTATTTAAAATCATTCAATGCATTCTTCAGTTTTAGCTGCATAATCTACACATAGTAAATTTGGTTGCAAAGCTTTGTTCATTTTCAAAGTATAAGCACTTTTTGTTTTTACATTAGGAATCAGAAGAAATCAAGTCAAATGAGCTTGATGCAAAGCTCAGAGTCACAAAAGGAGAACTTGAAAAACAAATGCAAGAAAAGTCTGACCAGCTAGAGGTGAGTTTGGTTTTCCTGTGTTGCATAATGAATATATGATGGTCTAGACTATGTGATGCAGAAAGGAATGGAGCACTCATTTCTGTCCACATCTAAGGCCTTTTTAGAAGAAGCAGGCAAAAACCTGCTAGTGCTGCATTAGGATTGTGTCTTTCCCAGATGCACCATGCCAAGATAAAGGAGCTGGAAGATCTGAAGAGGACGTTTAAGGAGGGCATGGATGAGCTCCGGACACTGAGGACAAAGGTAATCAGATCTCAAGCCTGACTCAGCTGGGGTAAATACCTTCACTTAGAATTGACTCTGGTCCTTGAAGGGTTAGAGAAGGCATACTCCCAAGTTCTTTGAAATTAAAGAACTCAGGGAAAATAGCATTTTCCTAGCAAGGCAGCTGACTGTGCTGAGCTGAAGTGTTGTTAGTCACTGGGAGGGCTTGCCCTGCGTCCCTGTGGGTAGCACACTTGCTGTGTCTGTACCTCACCTGTGGGCTTCAGAGCTAAGGACAGTACGGCAGTTGGCAGGATGGGCGGACCTCACGGTGGTGTCAGCATAAAACATTGTTTAAGGCTGGGAATGCCTCTGGCTGTATTGAACAGTGTTTAACAGGAAGATGGGTGCCATTTTAGTTTCTGATGTTGGTGATTCCTGTGTTCATAGTCTTTGTTGTCAGAGGAGCCAGCTTTTTAGTATTCATATGCTGTCTCCACTGTAGTGGCATTTACCTAGAAGTAGGATTTTTGTACAGTGTGTGCCTGCCCTTCCCATTCTGTCAGCTGTTTGCAGCTGGGATGGAAGGGAAGGCTGTTCTTGTTGAGACAGGGAGACGGAGTCAGTAAACAAAGTGACATCAGACTGTGTCCTCCCCAGCACTGCAGCGTTATCTCGGGCTGTGTGTCCACCCTGTCTGAGGTAGTTCACACGGAGCCTGAAGGGCTGTGCTTCACCTTGACTGTGATATTTTACAGGCAAAATGTCTAGAAGATGAGCGCTTAAGGACTGAAGATGAGTTGTCAAAATACAGGGAAATTATCAATCGTCAGAAAGCTGAGATTCAGAATTTACTGGACAGAGTGAAAGTGGCAGATCAGGTACAGGAGCGGCTTCAAAGGTACGGCATCAGCAACAAGCTTCTAATCTGCCTCCAGGCAGCGTCTTTAAGAACACCCACCATATCAAAGAAGAGCCATGTTTATAATCCTTCAGTTTGTGCCTTTGACTACCAAAAGTCAAATCAAGTTTACTTCATAGCCACAACAGGAATCATTCATAGATGGGGAGAATTTATCTGTTTTTAGCTGCACAGTCGTCACTCTGTACCTAGATCTTTAACTTTGTGTGTGTGGCTTGAGGTCAGAACCGACATCGTTCCTGACATTTCAGAGTCATTTAAACTTGATTTGTGATCCCATCCAGCAGAGCCTGGGCTCAGGTTAAATTTGTGTTACTGTCCGTGCTGCCATCTCCATGAAGAAGTGCTCCTTGCCCTCAGTCGCCTTCCTCAACTAGAGGACAGTGTGCCTGTGAGCAGCCCTGTCCCCTCCCAGCCTGAGAGCAGTGACAGGAAACAGGCGCTGTTGGCGACTCTTCTTTGAGCTGCAGCATTCACACGCATTCTCTCCTGTTGTTAGCTAGAAATGTTCCTACTCAGAATTAGATTACTCCTTCCACCTTTGCTGAGAGTCCTGTGATTTCTCTTCTATCTCTTGTCTCTCCCGACTCTCCTCTGTTCACTCTGGGATCTTAAGAACGTCTGTGTGTGTGAAGGGTTACCTGCCTGTGTGTGTGCATACATGCATGCCCGTGGACCTCTGGAGACCAGAAGAGAGTGAGGTTTCTGGAACTGGAATTACAGATGGTTGTGAGCCACCATGTGTGTGCTGGAAACAACTTGGATCTCCTGGAAGAGCAGCCAGTGCTCTTACCCGCTGCCCCATCTCTCCAGCCCCTAAACAGAAGGCCTTTTAGAATATAGCCACCACGATCCATCGAGTTTTGTCTGTGGCTGTTTTCACTGCACAGTGACAAAATACAACCGAGGCAAATAACAAAAAAACAAGAGAAGCATGGCGCGGAACCCTGGCTCCCACAGGACGGTGTCACACCTAATGAGCTCAGGCATCCTGCCTGCTCAGTGTGGCACACACACCTGCACTAACCTGAGCAGGAGAAACGCGCTGTGAAAGCAGCCCTGCTAGCCTTGCTCACCTCCCTTAACACGAGAGAGGCTGTCGTGAATGTTTGCCTCTGTAAAGCATGCTAGTAAGGGAAAACTCCCACAGTTAGTTTAATGTTTCTTAGTAGCTTACTTAATTTTTCTTAAATACAAACTTTGTTTTTTAGTGGTAAACAAGAAATTGAACATTTGAAGGAAGAAATGGAAAGCCTTAATTCTTTGATTAATGACCTACAGAAAGACATCGAAGGCAGCAGGAAAAGGGAGTCCGAGCTCCTGCTGTTCACGGAAAAGCTCACTAGTAAGAATGCACAGCTGCAGTCTGAGTCCAGCTCTCTGCAGTCACAAGTGGATAGCCTCTCCTGCAGTGAGAGCCAGCTGCAAAGCCAGTGCCAGCAAATGACACAGACCAACGCTAATCTGGTGAGGATAAATGCACATGCTGTTCTTTTTTCTTCCTGGGCCTATGCCTGCATGTAGTCTGTGCACCAGGTAGTGCCTGCTTAGGCCTGCAGGGGGCGCTGTTCCCCTGTCCACTAGAAAAGCAGCAGTGCTCTTAACTACGGAGTCATCTCTCTCCAGCCCCCAGCTTCAGTTCTTAAAACAACATAGCAAGAAGCACAGATTGAATTTCTCTGGTAAAACGTATAGTGTAATTAATTAGCTTTATGTTCTTTTAATAGTATCTGGCAATTTTAAATTTTGTAAGGATATATTTGCTTTTCTGTTTGATGAACATAATATAATAATTTTTTCTAAAATGATATTATATTTTCAAAAATAAGGAAACTGTAATTTCTGTCATTCCTAGTTGGAGTCTCCATTTTTAGGGTGTTTATTAATTAATTTGGTAGTTTAGAATGCTAACCCTGAGTAATAAAAGTGCCATTTCGTTGCTCATAAAAACAATTTGAGCAGGCGGGGTAAGTGGTATTGCAAGCACTCTGGGGACAGGGGCAGGTGGGTCTCTGAGCTCAAGGACAGCCTGGTCTACAGAGAGAGGTCTCAGGCCAGCCAGAGATACAGTGAGACCTTGTCTCAAAAAAAAGAAAGAAAAACAGATGAATCTTTCCAAAACTTCAGACACTTACCCTGCAGCTGTGTCCCTCACAGAGTGTCTCTCCACTCTGTTGATGCTCCTGGGCTGCTGGGTGAAGATGGGAGGAGCTGTCCCAGGAGAGCCTGTTCTCCCGTCCTTTAAGGGTTAAACGGGGCAGTTGAAGAGACACGGGTGCCTTGTGACCATCTCTTACTCTGTTCAGGAGAGCAGGTTGCTCAGAGAGGAAGAGCTGCGGAAAGAGCAAGTCCAGAGCCTGCAGGCCAAGCTCTCCACGTCCCAGGCGGAAGTCAAAGCCCTGGGCACCCAGGTGGAGGAGCTGAAAGACGAGCTGGTGACGCAGAGGCGCAAGCTGGCCGCCAACGTCAAGGACCTGAGCAAGCAGCTCCAGCAAGGTGCTCTTGTCTTCACGCTGACCCCAGAGCGTCTGTTAGAGACCGGGTGCCGGAGACGTGCACTCAGCTGCCTTACAGATGATGCATAGCCGGGCGGTGGTGGCGCACACCTTTAATCCCAGCACTCCGGAGGCAGAGGCAGGCGGGTCTCTGAGTTCCAGACCAGCCTGGTCTACAGAGCGAGTTCCAGGACAGGTTCCAAAGCCACAGAGAAACCCTGTCTCGAAAAAAACAACAACAAAAATAAAACCAGATCTGATGCAGGAGACGCACTGTCTCTGCATGCTGCCACGTGCACTCAGCTGTGTGGTTGATTGGGTTTCTCTTAGGCTCAGGTCTTGTCACCATCCTTGTGACAGTCTTCCTGAATTTACATACCCAGTCTTCTGCCTTGCTCGCCCTCCTCAGTGTCAGGGATAAAAGGGTATGCCACTGTGTCCAGCCTGTATATTCTTTTTCACTATGTTAGTATCCACAGACTAAATTACAAATACTGAGATGGCTAAATTTGCCATTCTGTGAGTAGTCTGGCTAAAGGCTATTTATCCACAAAGCCACAGAATGTGAAAATCAGGAAAGTCTCTTGCCCGGTTGGGAGAATCTCATACTTTTTATTTTGTGTTCTACTACCTGCAGAAGTTGTTTAAATGCCTGTCCCCCCAAATCCATGTATGCTAGTGCTGCCTGTAATCTAGAAGGTTCCTTTTCAGCTACATAGTGGGTTCAAGATCAGCTGAATTCAGTTGTTTTTCAAGATCTGTCTGGTTTTTTTTTTTTTTGCTTTTAGTTTTTTTAAAGATTTATTCATTTATTACATATACAATGTTCTGCCTACATGCCAGAAGAGGGCACCAGATTGAATTGTAGATGAGCTATCATGTGGCTGCCGGAAATTGAACTCAGGACCTCTGGCAGAACAGTCAGTGCTCTTAACCTCTGAGGCATCTCTCCAGCCCCAAGATCTGTCTGTTTTTATGTGTGTGGGTGTTTGGCCTGTACCACATGCTTGTCTGCTGCTCACAGGCACCAGGAGAGGCCCCAGATCCTCCGGGACTGGAGTTATGGTCGTGAGCTACCATATGGGTGCTGGGAATTGAACCTGGGTCTTATGAAAATGCAGTCAGTGCTCTAATCTCTGGTTCGTCTCTCACCCTGTTTTATACACATGTAAGTGAAGGTAGATTTGGGAGAGATCTCTGATGTTGAGAAGGATCTGAAAGTTAAAGTCAGCGAAAGCAAACAGTGCTGCTCTTGGTTGTCCATGAATGGCATCCCTAGTGTTGTAAGATACAGGTCAAGGACCATTGTCTTGTGGTTTATGCCAGTTTTACCCAAGTAACTTCAGCAGTTAGTGTCAGATGGTATGAGCAAATAAGTGGTCATTAAAGCGGTCACAGGTCACCCATTTCTTTTTCTCATAGCACGGAAAAAATTAGACCAGACTGAGAATGGAAACTATGACAAAGAAGTTAGCAGCATGGGAAGCCGCTCTAGTTCGTCAGGTAAGAACAAGCTTGATCTTTTATTTTAAGAAGTATTCATATGCTTTGTTTGATTTTGAGACTTAGAAGTTGCGAATAATCACATTGTTAAATATTTACATTCTGCTCTTTGCCAAGGTTCCAGGTTTGTCTTGAGCTCTGTGTGAGCCCCGTGTTCTTTACCTGCCACTGCTGTATTCTGTGCAATACTTCCTCTGTTAACTTCTGAAACTTAGATCTGTGTCTAGCCATAGCTTGTGTGAACTCTCTTCCTTCCCAATTCTAACGACTAAGAAGTGATAGAATGGCCATCCTTAGCTAGCATCAGGGTTATACGTATACCTCTCCTTCGGTATCTGAGGGGTTGGCTCCAGAGCATGCAATGGGTTATAGAACCTTTTATAGGATGGTGCAGTCTCTGTATGTAATCTTCCACAGACTTCAGATCATCTGCAGATCACTTGTGTAGAGTGTGTGGATAGTATCTACTGTCTAACACAGTGAATGCGGAGGAGGGAATCGTTAAGCTGTTTGTTTAGGACATAAGAATCTGTACATGGTTAGTGTAGACACTTTTAAAAAAGTGTTTCCAATCTGGGGTTTGTTGAACCTATAGATGGGGTTCTCATACATATGGAGGCAACAATTGTGTGTCTGTATTCATTCTCTTTCTTTCCCTCCCACCCTCCTGCCCCCCACCCCCGCCTGTCTCCCTGTCTCCCTCTGGAGACAGGGAGACAGAATCACTGCACTATCCTAATCTTGTTAGGCTCAGAGCCTCAGCAGCAGTTGCCATAGGAACAACCTGTGAACAGAAAGTACCTGGTTCGAAATCACCACTGTGTCTTAGGTCCCAGCTGACGCCATTTTATTTGGTTGTGCAGTGGGGCTAGGGCATCATTTGCTCAGGTCTGTAACATGGCTGCGAAGGCCATTGGTGATGGTTGAAGAGGCTCATTGACCTCCCAGGTTCTGCTGGGACACTGGCATTCACAAAGTCCAGGAGGTGTGGGGCTCACACACACTGCATGCCTTGTTGTAATGGCTTTAAGTGAGGGTGTAATCCTATGAGTAAATTGCTATTTTTAGCAGAAATGATGTGTGCACTGAGGGTAAGTCATGTGTCCAGAGCACGCTAGTGCCTCGTGAGTACAGCTGAACAGAGGCTGTGGTGCGCTTCCGCCTCTCCCCTCGCACACGCGCCCTTTGCCTCTGCTGCTCCTTCTCCTCAGTGCTCTTTTCACTTACTCTTGGAACTCTTTAGGCTTGCTCTTGTGTGTTTGGTTTTGTTTTTAAGATTGTCTCTGTTGCCAGCTCTTCGCCTCGTTCCTGTGAGATGTAACAGACACTGCTGTCATGGGTTTTCACAAAAGAATGGCTACCACAAGTAGCCCAGCATTGGACAGTGCTGTGGAATGAATGAGTTGGGGGACCAAGATCACACACACTGACTGAGCTTGCTTTTCTGTCTTCAGGGTCACTTAATGCTCGCAGCAGCGCTGAAGACCGATCTCCAGAGAACACCAGCTCCTCGGTGGCCGTGGACAACTTCCCAGAAGTGGACAAGGCCATGCTGATTGAGAGGATAGTGAGGCTGCAGAAAGCACATGCCCGGAAGAACGAGAAGATAGAGTTCATGGAGGACCACGTCAAGCAACTGGTAGAGGAGATAAGAAAGAAAACCAAGTATGTATTACTGTGGTAGCACGGCCTGTGTTAGAAGACGGCCACTCGCGTGGCCTCAGAAATTGGTGAGGCGCTGGCTGATCTTTTCCATGGGGTTCACCATGTTACCCAGGCTGGCATTGCGTTCCTGGGCTCACACGATCCTTCTACATCAGCTACTTGAGTAGCTGGGACTATAGGCAAGTGGCTCTGTGCCTGACTTAGTGATTCTTACAGCATCCCGGGCTCCGTCTGTTTTGATCCAGGTTTAGGGGACACAAAGATGATAGAAAACCCAGTCTCACCTTAAGAGTGGGAACATCAGGAGAGATAGTGAATGGGGGGTACTAGACTCTTTTTTCTTTAATTATTTAGCTTTTAAAAGTGAATGGCTCTAACAGATGCCTGGAGTTTTGAGAGTTTTTTCCTCTGGTGAGAACCTAATGGGGTAATGATGAAGCTCCTCTTGGTGTAAGAGCCTGTACTTTAGTCCATCCGTTCCTTAGGTCACCCCTCACGCCCACTCAGCAGCAGTGTGCACTCTAGATCTTCAGGTTAGTTCACTACATCTAAGACCAGCCATTGCCTGTGAGGAACAGACCCCAGCTACACCCAAACCCAGCTTGACCAAGCCACAGTTCTGTGTGGCGTCACGGTCCTCACAAACACCACACTTAAGTAAGAGGTGCTTCATATGCAAGTCTTCTAAGCCTTCTGAAGTTATTCTGAAATAATTTTAGACATATAGAAAATTTTGCTTGTAGATTTTAAAAGAAAGGGCAAAATAGAGTTTAATAGAAATTAACAGAGATAAAACCAACAAAGTAATGACTAAAATATTTACATACAAGTAAGGAAAGAAACACAGAAAAACTGTGTTTATATTTCTGTAAATACCACGATACAATAAAAAAGGGACAGTTTAAGAGACCAGCAAGTAAGGAAAATTCTACGCCAAGTTAGGTTATTTATTAGCCTGACAGATGTATATTTTATGCTAATCATCTTTATGCTTGTGATTCATTGGTCTTTTTATTCTGCAAGCACACAGAGTATCGTTTTGTTTTGCAGAATAATTCAGAGTTACATTTTACGAGAAGAGTCAGGCACACTTTCTTCGGAAGCATCTGACTTTAACAAAGTGCACTTGAGTAGACGCGGTGGCATCATGGCATCCTTATACACATCCCATCCCGCTGACAGTGGGCTAACACTGGAGCTCTCTTTGGAAATCAACCGAAAATTACAGGCTGTTTTGGAAGATACATTGCTAAAAAATATTACTTTGAAGGTATTTGCATTTCTTATTCATCACCACTCAGTAAGTGTGGCAGAACGATGCCTCTTCATAGTCTCAGCTAGCACAGGGCTGTTTACCTGACACAGGATACCGTGGTACCCAGAGATAAGTCAGCCTCCAATGCTGAGGTGGGTTTTTCACTTCACCATGGATGGCTTTTTCCATATGACTATAATTAATTATAATTTTTTAATATTACAGCATTTTAGGTGAATTTCGTGACTTTTTTTTCTAGCTGTTGTCTGACCCAACTTTTCTGTCTTAGCTATGTATGCATGGGCCTTGATAGTAATAGGTTTTAAAAATAGTTTTAAATCTAAGTAATCATTATATATTAAAACTTGCTGTAGCTGCACTGAAAAGATTATAACTTTGGGCGGGATTAATTTCTATTAATCCCAGCACTCGGGAGGCAGAGAGAGGCAGGGTGAGTTCTGTGAGTTTGAGACCAGTATGGTTTGTCTACAGAGTGAGTTCCAGGACAACCAGGACTGCAGAGAGAAACTCTGTCTCAAAAAAAACAAAACAAACAAAAAAATGACAGGCCCATTTCCCTAAAACACGTGTGTCTAGTTTGTCCCTGTACCAAGAACTAATCACTCAGTTTCAGTTTAGGCAAGAGCAGTCCACAGGGTACTTGTATTATACTCAGAACGTGTGTTTTCTCTTCCCCACTTATTAAAGGAAAACCTGCAAACACTTGGAACAGAAATAGAACGCCTTATTAAACACCAGCATGAACTGGAGCAGAGGACGAAGAAACCTAGCACAAAAGCTCTTGCCCAGTAGACAGACCAGCCACAGAGCAGCAGGTGCCACTGTCCGCTGTCCTGAAACAGCCCTTGCTTTGTGTCAACTAATGAATACTTGCTTTTCCTTCCCTGTGTAGAAGTGCCCTTTTCTGAGTGCATTGGTGTGTGTGCCGTAACTGTGAGCCCAGTGAAGTGCATTTCTTCGCGGTACAGTTCAGCCACCTTGTCACTGACTCAATATCTAAAGTGCTAAACGTTAGTACAAGGGTTAAAAACCTTTGCCGTAGTTCTTCCCTTGGTGATTTCAGCCTTTGACAGGTATTCGTGAAAAGACAGGTGTTCTCCATCCAACCATTCTTATCTCTGCAACATGAAAGGAAACCTAGAGAAATCATGAAGCTTTCTTGTTTTGATCTGGACACAGTGATCACCCTGTAGTTCTAGCTACTTCAAAGGCTAAGGAGGATCTAGAGCTCATGAGTTCAAAGCCAGCCAGGGCAACATCTCAAAACCCCACCACAATTAGCCTGAATCACAGAGTAGCCCTGAGTTGTGGTAGGCATATGAATACTTAATTCTGATTGTAATGACAACGAGACAGGAAAGCTAGCTGCTGGTAACTAGCAGTGATCAGGCACTATTTGCGTCTGTCAGAATTCCTTATTTGTCATAGTTACATTTTCACATTGGAATTGTTGAATGTTTTTAAACTATGATTTTTAAAATGTGTATACTTACAAATTTCCTGTGGACTTGTATTTTAGAACTATGAGATGAATCCAGTCATTAGAACATATAAATGAAGACTTTGGAAATGACATGCTTTAGTTTTACTGACATTGTATAGACGTAAATGTAACAAACAGGCTTAAGGCAGAGGTTCTCAACCTGTGGGTCATGACCCTTTCACAAGGGGTCACACATAGATATTTACATTACAGCTCTTAACAATGGCAAAATTACACTTATGAAGTAATAACAAAAGAAGTTTGATGGTTGGGGTCACCAGGACATGAGGAACTGTATTAAAGGATCGTGGCATCAGGAGGGGTGAGAATCACTGAACTAATGTGTTTATGAAGACCCCCCATTCCCAAGAAAAGCCAGCACTTAGCACTGTCAACTTTTAATGTGGCCATCTGTTCTTAATTCTTGATAGTTAATTACATAGCATAATGAAACACTGTTTCCTCAAACGTGATGTTTCAGTATATTATTTCAAACACAGTTATATCTTCAAAGCCAAAGGAACTTTGAGCCAGGTTGTTGTATCTTGTTGGATATTTACAGTGTTTAAGATGTATACGTAAATGTTGCCAATCTCAGTACAGGTGTTTCTGTCATCAGGTTCTGGTCTCATCTATCAGAACCTGAACACTGCATTATGTTCATGCCTTCTGTGTCCTGGGAGACTCGGAGCCTGTTTGGCAAGCCTCTGCTTGTTTTGTGTTTGGACATTTTTCTTCCTCTTAAGAACTTGAGCTTCTTTGAGGGTAGATACCTTTAAAGGATGGTGTGAACTCTAGCTGGGCATAGTAACATATGCCACAGTCCCAGAGGTACAAGGAGATTAAGGGCCAGCCTCAAGTACAAAGTGAGTTGGAGGCTAGCCTGGGCTACATGAAACTCTGTTTTATAAATAGAATTGTGTGGGCTCTAAAAATTTGGATCATGTCAATGCCCTTTTAATGTGTTTTATCATTTCCTTAAATCAACATTGATTATAAATGTAATTTACTAAATACTAGATGTAAGTATAGTATCTTTTTGTGATATCTGTTGTTATCTGAAAAATGTCTTAGCTTCAGAGTGAAAATGCATTCAAAAGTTATTTTTAATAGTTTTAAATAGTTGTAAAAAGTATTAGTCATAATGTCTGCTCTTTTATTATTAATAATTTATTAGAATAAAATAAGAGGGTAAGTGCAATAAATTCTGAATTATTTTCCCAATTATTCCTGAACATACTGCAACACTCCAAAGATCTACATAGCATAGACAGTGTAGTAGCTATACTTTCCTGGTTCCTCAGGTGATAGTGATTGATGAGTTACAGCGATTGCGTTTTTTAATTCCAAGACACAAACATGCATAACAGAGACCAAATAGTGATCTTGTCCACAGTATCCGTACCTGTGCTCTTTAAAGTATATACACATTTGGCACAGATATATGTATGCCATGATGTACTTGGAGAGCTTACTAATGAAAATTTAAAAACATTATTACGACAAGCCATACTTTGATCATCCCACTGTCTGTGAGACTTCAAAACCTGGAAACATCTTATTTTCTTTTTTGTTTGACATCTCCTGAGCCCTTGCATACGTGGTCAGAAGTGAGCAAGAGTATGCATAAAAGTGTGTGTGTGTGTGTGTGTAAGAGAAAACGTTCTCGACTGATGTATAAACAGCTCCTACTGTAGATCTCTGAGGTCTTCCTACTGATTGAATATGTGTAGTAAAGAACCTGAGACCCCAGCAGGGATTTGTTATATTTGCTCATTGTTAGCTACAAATATATCAATCCTTTGGTATCCTTGAACAAAGGGTGGGGGGTGGGTGGCATTCGTGCCTCCTTTTTTCCCATGCCACTTGGGATTTTGAGTCTGTCTCAAAGATTGAACATGGTGAGTTTGGACAGAATGAACAACTGTTGGTGGTTTGGTTTTGTTCTACCTAGCCATTTAGAGTGACCTAATAGACACCTTGTCAGGCACCCTACAGGTATCATGATTATCGCCTTCCACTCTTGGGACCTGTGGTCTCATGACAGCAGCAGGACCAGTCTTCAGACTTCGCTCTCAAGCCAGCCCCTTCACTACTGGACTGAGAAGAATTAGTGAACGTGTACAGCTCCATGGCCCAGAGGTCCTGGCTGACCTGACGCTCTGACCTGGGGAGCATTGGGAGCACATGCAGGTCCCATGGTGCCCCTGCATAGCTCCTCACTCTGGAGGGAAACCAGGGAAACCGAAGACCATAGCGAGATGCTAGACCTTTACCATTTAGGAAACGGCTTACTGGTGCCTGCTCGATGTCCAGAAATGAGTCCAATCATGTCCAAGTTCTCTTTTACAGGTTGTTGATTATTTTCTAAATATTTTCTAAATATTTTTACAAGAAAATTTAGGCTAAATCTGAAAAAAAAAAACGCAGAGATTGTTAATAATGTAAAAGTGGTATGTTGCCCCATAAGGACATTTCTTTATATGAAAAATGTCATTCGTGCCCGGGACTGTTGACTCTACTAATCTCAAGGTGTGTTTTCAGTTCATTTTCACGCTGATGCTGTTACTCTCTAACACTCGTTGGTGGCACTAGTGACCTGAAAATGGGGAAGGGTGCAGCCAAAGGTGAATAAGAGAAATATTTGAAAAGCAAACTATATGAGGACTTAGTTGCATATGGAAATGTATGTCTCTTCTTGAATGGACTCTGGAACCGCACACAGCTGTCCTTCATGATGTCTGCTATCCTCCATCCCCGAGTACGTGGGCATCTGCACTGTATAGGTGACCCCGGATTACACTGTGCATTCTGTAAATACCCTGTATAAAGTGATGCTCCTCTGGGGAGTCTGTGTACATTCTGTACTTATTAAATATGCAATGCCTGTTTACCAAGCTGTATCTCAGTGGCATCTGTAATGATGTACACATTTCACATGGCTGAACAAGCGAGTTTGCCATCATTGTAAGACTCTTCCAAAACTGCTTGGTGTTGCTTTTTAAACTACGCTGATTATTCTTGCTTCCCATGTGTTTCTTTATCCAATCAAATACAATTGAAATAAGGTTTAATTGAATGTCAGGTCTCACTTTCAATTTAAACTATAGATAGCAAAGCCAGACATTTTTTATGGAAGACATTAATCCCACAGACTAGGAAGTTTCCTATTGGGCTGGTAACCTTGTGGTACATTCTGACATTTCACAAAGCTATGGGGCTTCTGTGTCCTGGTTTACAGCTTCTTTCCCAATGAAGAACCAGTTGTGGACTAAAGCAGGGTTGAGTTCTTCTGGTTGACACGCAATGAGTATTTCACATCCCTTGGTGTTACATCGAAGCTCTCTAGGATTCTGGGGCTTGCTTTATGCCGTATCACATGAGCTGTTCCTTCTTGGGACAGTCCCCTGACATTCAGATCTTGGAATGCAGCTAACTGACAGTAGCGGAAGCTTGTGTGTTGATAGTTGCCTTCCAGGAACCAGTGGATGTGTGCTCAGACACGCTGCTTCTACCAGCTAGTCATCAACTAACACTTAAGCAGCAGTTTGTATAAAACAACACCCCAAGCAGAAGGGAGTGTGGGCAATTCCCAGTCATCTTTCATTACCCAAGGGCCATGCTTTTTACTGGACTGCCTATCCTTTGACATGCCAGCGTCTAGATACACTAAACCAGGAGCTGCTTGCTTCTGGAGAGACTGCATGGTGTAGTTTTTTGTAATTGTTGTCTTTAGTGCTAATTAAACCTTAAGGGTGGGAGATGGGTTTGTATGTTCAGCCCCACCCCATGTCTCTTGCCTCAACAGTCCGCTAAACTTGCTGACCAGTGATTAGCCCCTGTGTTGTGAGCACCCCTCAGTGCACACAGCTCTGCTCCCCTTGCTGTGTGAGCATCCGTGGCTTTGTTGGCTAGTCACCTGTGTAAGATCAACTCGGTGCCCAGCTCCACGTCACCCTGTAAGTCTCTTCTCTCACCCAGATGCCCATGCCAACCCAGATGTTTGTTTGGAATTGCAGCTAGCTTGTTCCTCGGTTTGGGGTTTGGTATGATGAACGTGGGCAGAGTGAAGGATTATGTGGAGAGCTTGTGAGTGAAGCCGGCTGGGAAAGGTCAGCTTCCAGCACAGGTCACACCTGACAGCGTGAGCACCTAAGAGCTAATTGCAACTTAATAGATTTCTTTTAAAGGTGTGTGCTTGCCTTTTGAAAACATTACCTTTTAAGAAGTACATGACTGAATGCCTTCTGGGTTCCATGGCACCAACTTCAAACAAAAAAGCATCAGTTCCCCGTGCCTTCTGAGACCCAGATGATCCTGTTCAAGACTGTATAATGCAAAAAGCTATTCTTCAATTTAAGTGTTCACCCCGTGCAGCTGCAGAGCACACAGGCTGCTTATGGTTTTGAACAGTGACCACAGTTTCCTCAGCAAGGCTCAGGTGTTGAAGGTTTGGTGGACCCAGACACTGAGAAAAGCCACAGGATGCTGCATGCTTTGATCTTTTTCCGTGGATTGATCCATTGATGGGGTTTTAGCTTATTAACATGGTGATGAGGAGATGAGGCCCAGTTGGAAGCAGGTCACTGGTGGGGCAGTGAAGCCTCTCTCCCTGCTCCCTGGAAGTCTTCCTCAGTGTCAGACCTCACACCGTACCTTGCCCCCCGGGCCCACAGCGAAGGAGACAGCTTTAAATTGTTGCGGATATAATAAACTAAGCACATGGATGAGTCTGCAGCTCGGGAAGGCACGAAGTTCCGATGCTGTGCATTGGATATAGACTGGATGTCACCTGTAATAAAGGCGGTAAGTTAGAAACAAGCTTGTTTCACGTGTTAATCTCAGCTCCCTCTCCCTCCCCTCCTCCCCTGCCCTCCCCACCAGGCCCCCCAGTCCCCCTCCCAATCTCCACTCCGATCCCCAGGGAGGGTGAGGCCCTCCATGGAGGATCTCCAGAGTCTGTCATTTCATCCAGGCAGGCCTAGGTCCTCCCCCAAGAGTCTGGGCTGAGAGAGCATCCCTCATTGTGGGATGGGCACTCAAAGTCTTATTATTTGTACATCAGGGATAAATACTACCCAAGGCCCCATAGATTACCTAAGCCTCCTCACTGACACCCACATTCAGGGGTTCTGGGTCAGTCCCATGCTTTCCACACAGCCATCACTCTGGGGTCCAAGAGCTCCCCCTTGTTCAGGTCAACTGTTTCTGTGGGTTAAACCAGCCTGGTCTTAACTCCTTTGCTTATCAGTTCTCCCTTTCTGACACTGGATTCCAGGAGTTCAGTTCAGTGTTTGCCTGTGGGTATCTGCCTCTGCTTTCATCAGTCGCTGGATGAAGGTTCTGTTTCCCAGACTCTCTGGCAGTGGGATTGTATGCTGGCACTCCCCTGATTCATGTCTAAAATCCATAAATGAGTGAGTACATACCATGTTTCTCTTTTTGTGACTGGGTTACCTCACTCAAGATGGTTTCTTCTAGTGCCATCCATTTGCCCGCAAATTTCAAGATTCCATTTTTTTTTCTGAATAGTACTCCATTGTGTAAATGTACCACATTTTCTCTATCTCCTCTTCAGTTGAGGGACACCTAGGTTGCTTCCAGGTTCTGACTATTACAAATAATGCTGCTATAAATGTAGTAGAACAGACATCCTTGTACTTGATAGGACTTTCAGAAAAGACGTTCGGTGATTCCCTAATTACAAGTCAAGCCAGAGACTTGTTATTGTTGGTAAGTAGCAAACTGGCGGCTGAGCATTTCTGTTTTTTGTTTTTGGATTGTAGAAGATATGTTAAAAAGGCATACAAGTGGGTGTGTCTGTGCCCATGTGTTGGGTGCATGGGGACTTGTGGAATGGTTGAAAGGCTGCCCTCAGTCTACTGTGTAACATAAAGGTGACTTTAGGGGCACTAGTGTTTGAACCTCAGATATCACACCAGTGAGGTGCCACACCACTGACCTCCGTATCCCTGAATCGGACTGTAGACACAGTTTCTGTTCTGCCTGATCCCACAGCCGTTTAGCACCAAATAAGCACACAGAGACTTACATTAATTATTAAACTGTTTGGTCGATGACTTAGGCCTCCTATTGGCCAGCTCTCTTAATTATTAACCCATTTCTATTCATCTAAGTATTTCCACATGGTCTTACCGGAGAATTCGCTCCCTCAGCAGCTACATGGCAACTTCTATCTGCAACCTCCCCACAGAATTCTCATCTGGTAGCCCCACCTATACCTCCTGCCTGGCTACTGGCCAATCGGTGTATTATTCATCAGCCAGTAAGAGAAGCATATGTACAGAAGGACCTCCCCATCAAGACTTACCTAGATGCCTAAGGCTGTCTTTAAACTCACTATGCAGTCCCACCGACCTGGCCTGAGGTTGCGCTTTGGGAAGTTCTTAAAAGCCACTTTAGGAAACCAGGTGGCACTGCATCTGATTTCCCAGGTTAGCCTCGAGTCTCAGATTCGTTTAACGGGAGGAATGCTGGTTTGGAGGTGCGTGGCGTAGAGTTGCACAGTAAAGGGTGGGTTCAGATGTAATTGGAGAGCCAGGGGCTCCCGAGTCCCAGATGCAGCTGTCTGTATGAAGCGCGGTCCCCAAAGGTCCCAAGCCACCCTGGGTAGCCTTCTCAAAAGTAGCTACATATGTGGACACAGGTTGTCATCAGAGTTGCTGTGGTGTGTTTCGTGGAAAGCAAATTAGCACTTGGGGCTATTCCGGTCAGAGGTTAAATACGGCCGGCTGCACTGCTTTTGTATTTTCAGAACGTTTTGTTTCTCCTTTGTGGCAATAAGGAACACAGTTAAATTTAAAAGACAAGAGGGACAGGGATGTCCTCATGAACTGTGGAACAGCGCTCAGACCACCCTGTGAGATGAAAAGGACTCTCAGCCCCTCCCAGGAATTCAGGCTGGGGATGCTTTGCATGAATCTGCTGTCTCCCCAGGTTAAAAGTTCTAACACCCCAGTAGTCATATTGAGGTTGCTCCCCCAACTGCAGCCATGGGAAAAGGAAGAGGACATCATGTTGCCTGTTGAACTTGGTAGAGGTCTGGAGGAGAGCGGGGATTGAAGCCTGTGGCACCAGCGTGGTTTCCCTGGCAGTCTCGACTGTGGTATGGGCAGGTTCCGCTTGAGCTATGCTGTGGGTACACCGATGCCTCGCTCGGATCCTGCCTAACACAGGCTCCTTTCCCTGCCCCCATCTCCAGCCAAGGCCATCAGAGAGAGGCGCTATGAAGCGCCTTGCCACTACGGCGGCCCCTAGACAAGTGTCTAACCTCTCTGAGTTTCGATTTTTCTCTCAGCAGCTGGAGGATGATAGAGTATGCCTGACGGAGCAGTGCTGCCGTCTAAATGGGAGAATGTGTAGGAAAGAGTTCTGAGAAGTGCAGCCTGGGCTTCTAAGCTGTGTCTCCAAAAAACCAAAGACAGGATTTATTAAGTATTGAAAACGTTTAAGGGTGAGGTGCATGTGTCCTCCCAAACTTGCTTTGACGATACAGCCTTCATAAAACAAGACAGCCAGCGTGTGAGGAGTACCTCCCTGTAAGTGTGTGGCAGAAGAGCTGTGGGTGAGGTGGTTTCCGCTGAGGAACGGTGGCCTTGTGTTTCACTTGATAATCTGTTTTCAAAACTCTTTCAGAGGGCACTTACACTCCTGGTTAGATTTTTACTCTAAGGGTCTTGTAGCATCCATGGCATGTGGTACAAGAAAAGGGAGTGGAGGGGGTACACTTACTCACTGAATGGATCCTGTTCAATTTCTGATTCCCCTGGAACAAGACCGGGAGGGAGCAGCCTCCCTTCAGACGTGTATGTAGTCCACTGTGCTCTCCGACCCTGCTTTGGCGTCAGCAGCTTCCTAGACTGCGGGTAGATTGATG